TTGCAGCGTCAGCTTTCTACTGGAAGTTGAATCACTCGATTCCCTAGCTTAACGAGCGAGCTATGGCGTTTGGCGCACAGGGGGGTAATCTGCCCTAGGAGAAGTTGACACTCCCCAGAGTCACTATAATTGAAGCTTACAAGTTCAAAGGCAGGATAGAAAAGGCATTGAAGCACAGTTGGAAGGTAGGGATGGAAGGGAAGGATGAAAGGGAAGGACCCTGGAGGCCCATGGTCAAGAGCATGACAAGAGTCAAAGTCTTGACTCCCCATCCTGAGGTTCAGCCAGCCTGGCAAGACAAAATTCACACTGTGCCAGGTTGGCCTCCAAACCCCAAATGCTGCAGCTGCAAGGTGAGGACAAAAGTCCCACACATGCTGGTCCCTCCTCGTTATAGGGCTCTCCAACTTTGGTGTAGCAGCTGACAAGGACTTCCAATGAGGTGTAACAAATCCATCAAACATTTCTTCGTAACTTCTTCATATGTGCTCCGATTCCAACAATTCTTGGCTCGTTGGAATGTGCTCGATGTCATGCACAATCCAAGCACATATACACAAGCACAAGATGAACATGCAAAGAGATGCAAACCCAACAAACCATACATACAATGTAGCACACAAAACAGATGCAACGAAATGATGCAAACCCAAGATGCTCTTGGGCCTTGCTCCTGCAGACCTCACATTTGCCAAGGTCTCATCCGCGCTCCTTTCTGCCGAAAAGGACAACAGTGCTCAAGCCAAGGCCAATGCAATCCGCGCTCTAGTGCCTCAAGCCTATGCTGCTTCGGCAGCATTCCAGCGCAACCGCTTCCCCCCGTGTCCCTACGTCATCAAGCATGGCCCTCGTGCTGGCCAGGTGTGTGGCGGCACCAACCACGGCCTTGCCTCCTGCTTTAAGAAGAAGGATGACGAGTGGTATGCCGTCAATGGGACCGCCTCAAAAGCCCCCAAGCTGGATGGTCAATCGTGCTCCTCGCCAAGTCAATCAAGTCGAAGCGCAGGAATCCGTGCAGGCTGCTGTGGCTTCACCTGCTGATGTGCGCCTCAACACGTTGTTCCCTGGCACTGCCATGATTAATGAGACGATTTCACAGTATCCTGGCTCACAAAGCACCTCATTCACAATAGAGTTCACCCTCGACAGTGGGGCCACTCACACGGTTCTCAAGGAAGAACACTCCTTCAAGCCACACGAGACACCAATCCGTCTACTTGAAGCAGACTCCAGTTTCACAACACACGCCAAGGGCTCCTCAAAGTTCCGTGCCCAGCTTTTCCTTCGGGCAGTGTGACTGCATGTGTGTTCTCACACTACGCCACAATCTCGTGGCCCAACACGAGCTCCAACGGGCAGGCGTCACCACGATCTTTCCAGCACACTCGGATCACTGTGACCTCTTCTGTTAGAAATAGAGTGCAAATACCACTTTTGTATTTGTACTTTTATATCCTAGTTTAGGTTATGAATGTTCTAGTGGGTTGGGGTGTACTCACAAATCCCAACCTCACCCAATTGTGATGACATAGGGACACGGGGGGAAGCGGTTGCGCTGGAATGGCGCCGAAGCGGCATAGGCTTGAGGCACGGGAGCACGGATTGCATTGGCCTTGGCTTGAGCGCTGTTGTCCTTTTCGGCAGAAAGGAGCGCGGATGAGACCTTGGCAAATGTGAGGTCTGCAGGAGCAAGGCCCAAGAGCATCTTGCGTGTGACTTCGTATGCCGGAGTGAGGCCGACTAGGAGAGCGGCTGCAGGGGCTTGCTCGGGGAAGACTATCCCCAACTGTTTGAGTTCACCATGAATGGACTGCACCTTGGTGACATAGTCCGCCTGCCTGGCGAGTCCTCGAGCCGCACTTGGAACATGCTGGGGATGAGTATAGCAACTCCCACTGCAGTCTTGTTCAGGAAGCGATCCTCGAGGTAGAGCCAAATGGCGTTGGCAGACGGGTAGTTGTGGTAGGTTTCGACGAGTTCGGGAGGAGTGGTGCCCATGAAGACACTAATGACCGCACCATCGGCCTTCTCCCAATTCTTGTACTTGAGCAGTGCAGCAGCATAAACTGCTTCGGCGGCGGCATTAGCTGGATCGGCGGACCTCTCGGGTTTAGGAGGCTCTTTGCCGTCACCGATGTTGAGAAGGACGTCGGTGAGCTCGAGCCCCTTCACCTCGCGACTGAGGAGGTGCTTGTCGACACCATAGCGCCAAGCCTTGTAGTTGGAGCATGTACCGTCCGGATCGAGACGAAGGAGCGGGATCGGGTTGGCGAGTGAAGTGGTTGAGTAAGCCATTGTTGGTGTGCAGCGCGACACTTCTGGAAATTGGTCGACGAGAATTGCTGAAAATCACTCTGATGGCTTTATCAAAATGCCGCTACGTATGAAATGGCGTCGGCGAAAATTCGTTAAAACGCCGACTTGAAACTGAATCTGAGCCTATGTCTAACCCTGGACCCACACACCCCCCCACACACCCCCAGGCCTTGTCCCGCAGCTACACAGCTCCGCAACCAGCTCCGCAACCAGCTCCGCAACCAGCTCCGCAACCAGCTCCGCTCCGCTTCAACCTGTGTACCTGGTCTTGCTTGACGCTAGACGTTCGTAGAGGCGATTTCGCGAAGGGAGTTCGCCTATTCTGGTGGGGTTTGAGGGGAAACTCGAGAACGAGATTCGACCAAGAAGAACCGAGGAGGAACTCGACGACGAGAAGCGTGAACGCTTCAGAGATGAGAAATTTAACGAGGTCGAGCGCGAAGGTGGTCGACGATGAGAGGCGCGACTGCAGAGTGGAGCACGTCGAAATTCCGACGACTCGAAACGAATGTCGCGACGATGAAGTGCGTGTAGCGCGGCCACGTTCAGATTATGACCTTGATCCGCGTGTGCGGATAGGTCGCTCTGTGTAAGAAATAGAGTTGAAATGATTGATTAGGTAAGGAGCCCAAGGCTTTATAAGTACATGGCAAGGTGAGAGAGAATGGATGAAGGGGGAATTGGAGGGAATCCCCATTGGGATCTCCAGAATCTCCAATTGGGTAATTGGAGATTGGGGGGATCACAATTGGGTGAGGTTGGGATTTGTGAGTACACCCCAACCCACTAGAACATTCACAACCTAAACTATGATATAAAAGTACAAATACAAAAGTGGTGTTTGTAGTCTATTTCTAACACCAATCTCCAATTACCCAATGGGTATTCCCTCCAATTCCCCCTACATCCATTCTCTCTCACCTTGCCATGTACTTATAGAGCCTTGTGCTCATTACCTTATCAATCATTTCAACTCTTTTTCTTACAGTTTCTTGGGTATGACTTGTGGTAGCGCACCACTCTCTCCGCTGCACCACACTGCTCTTCTGTTGGATTTTGCACTTCTCGAGCCAGCTGTCCCACAGCAAAGCTGATGTCAGGCCGAGTATGCACAGCAGCGTAGAGTAGGCTCCTGACCACGGATTGGAATTGCCTCTGCTCTTCACTCTCAACTCCATCTCCTGCAGCTGCCTTTATGAGTTTGAACTCGGAAGGCAAAGGTGTGACCACTTCTCGTTCTTCCTGCAGAGAGTACTTCTCAGCCAAGGTGTTGATGTACTGTCCCTGATGCAGTTTGAGCCAGCCGCATTCATTATCCCGCTCAATGTGCATTCTCAGGTAGTACCTTGCCTCTCCAAGTGACTTGCACTTGAACTGCTCTGTGAGGTTGTGCTGCACCCCATCGATCTCCTTGTCACTGCTGCTGAAGAGCAGGATGTCATCTACGTACACCAACAGAAGCACAAGCGACTCCCCCTCGCCCATCAGGAATAGGCTCTCGTCGCATGCACTCGCACGGAATCCAATCCCTTCCAGTGCACTGGCCAGCCTGTTGTACCAGCATCTCGGGGCCTGCTTCAAGCCATAGATGGCCTTGTTAAGTTTGCAGACATGACGGGTTCCATCCTCATAGCCAGGTGGTTGAACCATGTACACCTCCTCTTCCACAATGCCGTACAGAAAAGAGGTTACAATGTCCATCTGCTTCACCTTCCATTTGTTGGTGCATATTCATTTGCACGTCATCCTGTCGTCTGTTCGCATCATTTTGTTGCATGTGTTTGTGTGCTATATTGTTTGTGTGGTTTGTTGGGTTTGCATGACTTTGCATATTCATCTTGTGCTTGTGCAGATGTGCTTGGATTGTGCATGACATCGAGCACATTTCAACGAGCCAAGAATTGTTGGAATCGGAGCACATATGAAGAAGTTACGAAGAAGTGTTTGATGGATTTGTTACAAGGCATTGGAAGTCCTTGGCAGCTGCCACACCAAAGTTGGAGAGCCCTATAATGAGGAGGGACCAGCATGTGTGGGACTTTTGTCCTCACCTTGCAGCTGCAGCATTTGGGGGTTGGAGGCCAACCTGGCACAGTGTGAATTTTGTCTTGCTAGGCTGGTTGAACCTGAGGATGGGGAGTCCAGACTTTGACTCTTGTCATGTTCTTGACCATGGGCTTCCAGGGTCCTTCCCTTTCATCCTTCTCTTCCATCCCCACCTTCCAACTGTGCTTCAATGCCTTTTCTATCATGCCTTTGAACTTGTAAGCTTCCATCATAGTGACTCTGAGGAGTGTCAACTTCTCCTAGGGCAGATTACCCCCCAGTGCGCCAAACGCCATAGCTCACTCGTTAAGCTACGGAATTGAGTGATTCAACTTTTAGAGGAAATCTGACGCTGCAAGCTACATCATATCCGATTTTCATATCGTTTCACCGCTTGGAGTTTCGGATATAGCTTTTCGAAGGTCGCGGGTTCTCTGGGCGTCATAACGAAGTGCTGCAGAAATTTCCAACGAGCCATTGAATCATCTACTTATAGCCTTCTCTAACCAACACCATTTGCGCACAACAGCTACCGCCAGCAGCACACGTAGCGTTGGAGACTTAGCAGTTGGGGCAAACACTTCTTTGTAATCTTCCTTCTCTTTCTGCTGAAACCCCTTTGCCACCAGCCTGCTTTTGTAAACTGATGGCTCTCCTTTCTCATCCGTCTTGATTTTTGCCAGCCACTTGCACTGTATTGCCTTCTTCCCATTTGGCAAATACACCAGGTCCCATGTGTGATTCTCCATCTGGCTGTTGTACTCTGCATCTCTTGAAACGAGCCACTTCCCCCGTTGAGGCCCGGCTAGCGCATGATCCATGCTCGGAGGTTGTATCGGTGCGTAAAAGCAGTATGCAGGCTCCTCGTCATCTGACTCTTGGTCATCACCCAAGAACAGCACTGCATCTTCGCCTTGAGCCTGTTCCTGCTGCTCAGTTGTGGCTCCTCCACTTGTAGAGCTCAGCAGCTTTCTTGTTGCCATTCTGGTACGTGCAGGGTAGATGGTTGGATTTACCCATTCTTTCACCTTCACCCAATCCTTTGTCCCCCCACCAATCTGTTTCTTTTGCTATGGCAGACTTGGTGTTTTGGAAGCCTCTTGCTGCTGCTGCTCCGGATCCTTGACTTCAGCATCAGCTGCAATATCCTCATTGCTTCCTTCATCAGTACCGCTTGCCGTTGGCGCAGTGACTTCGCTGTCCTCAGGTTCGGACAAATCGAAGTGCATAGTGATCTCTTCCAGCTGCTGGGTGACCCTTGCCTCCGGCTGCTTCTCCCACTTGCCATACATGATGTTCTCCACAAATTTGACATCCCGACTGTCAAACAGCACATTCTTCGAGGGCTCCAAGAGTAGCCACCCCTTGCTCTCTGCCGCAAGCCCAAGGTGCACACACCACAGTGCAGATGCTCCAAGCTTTGTCCTGTACGGTTTAGGGACATGCGCCACTGCCATGCATCCGAACACTCTAAGCATGTCCACTGGAGGCTTCTTTCCAAGCCACCTCTCCAGCGGCACCCACATATCATCAGCTACCTTTGTGAGTACGCGGTTCCTTGCCACTGTAGCATGCCTCACCGCATGAGGCCAGATGGAGTTCCCCAGCCCTGATTCGATCAGCAGTGCTCGCGCAGTTTCCAGGATGGTCCTATTAGCCCTCTCAGCAACGCCATTTGACTGAGGGGTATAGGACGTCGTTAGCTGATGCTCAATGCCTTGTTTCTTGAGCCACGCAGTCAGATCTCCTCCTAGAAACTCTCCACCTCGGTCGGTTCTGATGCTCTTGCATGGGTGCCCAGATTGTCGCTCGACGAACGGCAGCCAGTCATCTCGTATTGTTGAGGCAGCATGATCCTTCTGCTTCAACGGGTATGCCCACATCAGCCGACTCCAGTCATCAACTATTGTTAGGAAGTACCTTTCCCCTTTACTTCCTCGAACTGGAAAAGGTCCTACCAGGTCCATGTGCACCAGTTCCAGTGCTGCCTTGCTTTTCCCAGCTACGCCGTAAAAGGGGAACCGTGTGAACTTGCTCAGCAGACACGTCTTGCACTTGGTATCATTTGGTTGCCAGAAAGCTTCAGCCCCTTTACTGTTTCTTCCTTATGCAGTTGCTGCAGCAATGGCATAGCCACATGCCCTAGACGTCTGTGTGCGGTTTCCCAATCAGTCTCCCCCGACCTTGCAGAAACCGTCACTCCTACAGCACTAACTGCATTGCACTCCTCCTGGACTCCAGATCCCGCCTTTACTGCTCCCAATTCCTACTTTGTTGATTCCCATATCAGTGCAGGGATCTGCCATATGGATCTAAAGACATCTCTGCTTTCGTGTAAATCCCATAACACACGATCTCCTCGCAGCCCCTTAAATGTTTTGGATCCATTGGTGGTGGTGCTGACTCCGGCCTGGCCTAGCTTGCGCAGCGATATCAGATTGGCCTTCAGCCCCGGTACGAGTAACACGTCCTTCAGCACAACCAGTCCACCATGAGGTGCTCTGAATGCAGCTCGACCAACTTCAGCGACCTTCACTGCATGTCCGAATGCTGAGCGCACTTCAGAGATTGGAGGCCCTCGCACAGCATCCAGCAAGTCCTTGCGTGGTGTCATTGTCCATGCAGCACCAGAGTCCATGACCCACATATCAAGCAGGTGCAGTTTCTCTCCAGCCCTTCTGTGCCACTGTCATCTTTGTCACACACATGGTAGAACTGTCCAGCATTCCTCTCCTCATTTCCCATTCCTCTGTCATCCTTGGAGGTTTCTTCAGCAGGATCAGCTACCATGTCGGGATGCGACTGGAGCTGGGCCCCAGACATCCATGTGCACTAGGTCCAGCGGAGCAGCTGCGACGGATGGGGAGGAAGGGTGCGGCTGCTGCCTCAGCTTGCTCTTGGTGCAGTCCAGGTAGGTGGGTGCAGGTGAGTCCGTTGGTGGAGGAAGCGCCGACGGGAGGCCAAGAAGAAGTTTCTTGGAAGCGATGTCGGCAAGTGTACGGAAGTTGGGGTGACCCAAGCAATGGTGGTAGAGGATGGTAGGGTTGGCGAAGCTGCGACACGAACACCGAGTGGTGTTGGCAGCTTGCGCTTGGGAGAGGGTGGCAAGAGGTGAAGGTAAACGCAGCGTATAGAGCTTGCTGCTGTTGAGTGTGAAGCGTGCTAGGAGCTTATTGGACTTAGGGTCGAGGAGGTCACAGTGATCCGAGTATGCTGGGAAGATCGTTCTGACACCTGCCTATTGGGGCTCATGTTGGGCCACGAGATCTAGCGTAGTGTGGGAACACACATGCCGGTGACACTGCCTGAAGGAGAAGTTGGGCACGGAACTGTTGAGGAGCCCTTGGCACGCAACTGGAGTCTGCTCCTAGTAGACGGATTGGTGTCTCATACCGCTTGAAGGAGTGTTCTTCCTTGAGAACTGTGTGAGTGGCCCCATTATCCAGGGTGAACTCTGTTGTGGCTGAGGTGTCTTGTGAGACGGGACACTGCGAAATCGTTTCATTAATCATGGCAGTGCCAGGGAACAACATGTTCAGGCGCAAATCAGTAGGAGCAGCCACAGCAGCCTGCACGGATTCCTGCTCTTCGACTTGATTGACTTGGCAAGGATTACGATTGACCATCCAGCGTGGCAGCTTCGAGGAGGTTCCATTGACGGCATACCACTCGTCATTCTTCTTCTTAAAGCAGGAGGCAAGGGCGTGGTTGGTGCCGCTACACACCTGGCCGGCATGAGGGCCGCGCTTGATGACGTAGGGACACGGGGGAAGTGGTTGCGCTGGAATGGTGCCGAAGCGGCATAGGCATGAGGCATGGGAGCGCGGATTGCATTGGCCTTGGCTTGAGCGCTGTTGTCCTTTTCGGCAGAAAGGAGCGCAGATGAGACCTTGGCAAATGTGAGGCCCGCAGGAGCAAGGCCCCAAAGCATCTTGCGTGTGACTTCGTATGCCGGAGAGAGGCCAACTAGGAGAGGGGCTGCAGGGGCTTGCTCGGGGAAGACTATCCCCAACTGTTTGAGTTCACCATGAATGGACTGCACCTTGGTGACATAGTCCGCCATGCCTGGCGAGTCCTCGAGCCGCACTTGGAACATGCTGGGGATGAGTATAGCAACTCCCACTGCAGTCTTGTTCAGGAAGCGATCTTCGAGGTAGAGCCAAATGGCGTTGGCAGACGGGTAGTTGTGGTAGGTTTCGACGAGTTCGGGAGGAGTGGTGCCCATGAAGACACTAATGACCGCACCATCGGCCTTCTCCCAATTCTTGTACTTGAGCAGTGCAGCAGCATAAACTGCTTCGGCGGCGGCATTAGCTGGATCAGCAGACCTCTCGGGTTTAGGAAGCTCTTTGCCATCACCGATGTTGAGAAGGACGTCGGTGAGCTCGAGCCCCTTCACCTCGCGACTGAGGAGGTGCTTGTCGACACCATAGCGCCAAGCCTTGTAGTTGGAGCATGTGCCGTCCGGCTCGAGACGAAGGAGCGGGATTGGGTTTGCGAGTGAAGTGGTTGAGTAAGCCATTGTCGCTGTACAGCGCCGCACTTCTGGAAATTGGTCGACGAGAATTGCTGAAAATCACTCTGACGGCTGTATCAAAATGCCGCTAATTAGGAAATGGCGTCGGCGAAAATTCATTAAAACGCCGACTTGAAACTGAATCTGAGCCTATGTCTAGACCCGGACCCACACATCCCCCCACACACCCCAAGGCCCTGTCCCGCAGCTACACAGCTCCGCAACCAGCTCCGCAACCAGCTCCGCTCCGCTTCAACCTGTGTACCTGCTCTTGATTTGACGCGAGACGTTCGTGGAGGCGATTTCGCGAGGGGAGTTTGCCTATTCTGGCGGGGTCTGAGGGGAAACTCGAGAATGAGTTTTAAAAGATGGTCGAAATTGAGATTCGACCAAGGAGAACCGAGGAGGAAATCGACAATGAGAAGCGTGAAAGCTTCAGAGATGAGAAATTCAACGAGGTCGAGTGCGAAGGCGGTCGACGATGAGAGGCGCGACTACAAAGTGGAGCACGTCCAAATTCCGACGACTCGAAACGAATGTCACGACGATGAAGTGCGCGTAGCGCGGGCACGTTGAGATTAGGACCTTGATCCGCGTGTGCGGATAGGTCGCTCTGATACCATGTAAGAAATAGAGTTGAAATTATTGATTAGGTAAGGAGCCCAAGGCTCTATAAGTACATGGCAAGGTGAGAGAATGAATTCAGGGGGGAATTGGAGGGAATCCCCATTGAGATCTCCAGAATCTCCAATTGGGTAACTGGAGATTGGGGGGATCACAATTGGGTGAGGTTGGGATTTGTGAGTACACCCCAACCCACTAGAACATTCATAACCTAAACTAGGATATAAAAGTACAAATACAAAAGTGGTATTTGCAGTCTATTTCTAACAGTGTTGGCAGGGTAAGTGCCAAGAAACCTTGGTGGGCGTTCCAGGTGATCATCCTCCTTGAGCTGGCCTTGGAGAAAAGCGGAGGAGGCGTCCATGGACTTGATCTCGAAGTTGCCGCGAGCGGCTATATTAAGAAGAGCGCGCGCAGTCAGGAGATGGGCCGTGGGCGAGAAGGTTTCGAAGAAGTCGAGATACTCCTTCTGGGTGAAACCCATCGCCACGTATCGTGCCTTGAACAGTGGAGCTTCGCCTGGGAGTTGTTTGACTCGAAAGATCCATTTTTTGCCAACAATGTTAACACCGGAAGGGGGAACGACATTGTCAAAGCTGTTGTTGCGAATGAACGCCTCGTTCTCCACATCCATTGCTGCCTTCCACTCCTTCTTATAAGGCCCCAAGAGAGCTTCCTCTTTTGTGCGAGGAGTCGGAATGGTTGGGTTCTCGGTGAAGTTGAGGGAAGGGCAGTCAGTAATGTCCGGGAAGTTGTTAGAAAGAAATTGGTAGACCGCATGAAGGTCAAACAACTCCTTATGCCTGTCCTCCAGAAGTGCACGGGGGGGAATACGGATGGAGGGGACATCACCTCCGGCAGGAGGAGGCTGTTAGAAATAGACTACAAATCCCACTTTTGTATTTGTACTATTACATTCTAGTTTAGGTCATATCCTCCGCAGCGGCACCTCCTCCTGCTCCGCCTTCCCCATGCGTCGAGCCCGGCTCACCAGTCTCCTACCGGAAGCGCCCAGTCCCTCCGGTCCCAGTCTCGCTTGGGGACCATCCCCATCATTCCCGGCAGGAGGAGGCGGGGTGACCAAACACCGGATGCAGAAGGCGGCTGGTCCCTAGGCTAGAGACGGAGCTGATCCCTTGGAATGAGTGCGACTAGAGACCGGAGTTGAAGGCGGCTGCGGTGGGACCGGAGGGACTGGGCGCTTCCTATAGGAGACTGGTGAGCCGGGCTCGACGCTTGGGGAAGGCGGAGCAGGAGGAGGTGCCACTGTGGAGGATACCGGGAAGGCCGGGTGAGACATGCCGCACGGAGAAGGCCCCCGAGAAGGGGCAGCAGCCGGAGTTGGGGCATCGAAGTCTGCCCATACAAGCGTCGGGGGAGGTGGACGAGGCGTGTCTCATCGAAGACGACATCACGGCTGCGAATCAGCTGTCTGGTGATGGGGTTGAGGAATAAGTAGTTTGGGGAATCGGAGTTGTGCCCCAGGTACATGCAGGTCTGGGTTTTGGGACCAAGCTTGCCACCTTGCTTCCTGTGCGTGTGGGGGCTGAGCAACACATATGTGGTCCACCCCCAGATGCGTAGAGAGCGAGCAGAGGGTGTGGCTCCAAGCCAGAGAGTGGTAGGTGTGGTGTCGGGCCGGTGGGGATGCGGATAAAGATCGTAGAGGAGTGCCGCATGGAAGAGGGCATATCCCCAGAGTGACCGTGATGCGTTGGCGTGACTGAGGAGGCAGCGAGCGATTTGAACCAAGGTGT